GAACAATACGCTGTTCAAAGATACATTATTATCAAGTCTAGGTATCACTGCCCTACACCAACAGGTCAAGTCACTAGAAAACAGATTAGATGACATGGAACAGTATTCAGGTCGCAACTGTCTGAAATTCAGGGGGATCCCTGAATCTGAACACGAGAACACTGACCAGTTCCCTATTGACTCGTGCAATAACACACTGGGTTTTATGATTACTGGTGCTGACATCAGTCGCTAACATCGTGTAGGTTCCATCAACAAGGCATATCCAAGAGACATAATTGTACGTTTCATTTTGTATTAGACCAGAGCCAACGTCTATGATGCCAGATTTTCCTTATTCAGTAAGAAAGACCAGGAATCATCACCCACATCTCCCACCCCATCCAATAAGCTCTCCATCAATGAGGCACTAACCAGAGCTAGGGCATCTGTTTTCTTCAAGGCTCACCTTCTCAAGAGACAGGGTCTCATATCTGGCACTTGGACCAAAGACGGTAGGATTGTTATCAGGAACAATAGTGGAGAGAAACACCAAGTCACCAAACTTGAAGAGCTAGAATCCTACCCCGACCCCCTCCTAAGAAACAACCAGGCCCAAGGACGTTGGCTTCTAACCGTGACAGATCCTACAACAGGCAGCCACATCATAAGTGATCTGATGAATACATAAACTGATCATAACTTTGTGTCATTTGTTTGTTTTGTTTTCTTTTTGCATTATTTTTATCAAATACCATAACTGTATATATCTCACCATATGACTATGTGTGTAGAACCGATTATACATGTATCATATAAGTAACGTAACTTATTTGATACAAATGTATAACTTATGATTTTGCTATATCATAAATACAATATATATAAATTCACCAAAGCTTAGTAATGTGTATGTGTTGCTCTTGGATTTTAACAATTGCAAATTTTCTTTTACAGTGTAAACTTTTATACCTAGGTATAAGTTAACTTACCTTGGCTTATTATTGATGTTTCATCAATTGAATAAATACATAAATGTATATAGATTATGAACACATAATCTACCAACATTATCTGGGTATCACAAAATGTAACCACTGAATATTTAATATATATGTCAATTTATTTTTCCAAATATGTATCTCTTATCATAACCTATACTGTAGAACGTGATGCCTCATACTACTAGTATAATGATAAGATTTACTACAGAAAAAGTTGTGTTATCTAAATTGTATGTGTTATCGTTCCTGGATCATAACATGTGACAATAATATGCCTCTACAAAAGGAAAGTTATAGCTTATCTCATTAGTGATGTTCTACTAATTGATAATATGTGTATATATACAGCCGATATATGTTATATCCATGTAACCTTCAATCAAGCCCCTTCATTGTGTTTATTAATTGTATGTAGTCTATATATACTATAAAAACAAAACGTTTTCTGTATCCATTGACTGCTTGGGCTTTCGAACCATGTGACTATGTGATCGTACAAATGTACTTTATAAGTATGATATTGATTAGTGTAACTAATGATATAAACTTCAGTGATAAAAATAATGCCACATATAGTTTTGCATTTCATGCCATAATTTCACATACCTGAGTTATAAATATAATCCCAAATACATATTTTACTATTAGCCGGTATATTGGCCAAATGTAAAAAAAAAACCACGTGCATACTGTCGCATGCTTTTGGTCTACCCCTTCTAATTAGCAGGTCAATATTTTGTATTATTGAATGTTATACTATTCACAACATAAATAGAATGACCAGAATTATTTGAGTCTTAACATTCTACAAGTAATTACCCATGATTGTTGTACATGAAAATGTCAAATATAGGACTCCCATTATAATTATATTCTCAATCAAAATACTCTATGTTAGATATATCCCATCAAAATGCATGTAAAAAAAATGCTGATTGGAAAGGGCGTACACCATAATTGAAGGCAAACCAAATCCTGTTCACTACTATGTTTGTGACGTTAATATCGATCTTTAGTCTTACCATGCTGTCTCTGATCATGTTGATCCCGTATTGCTTGTTAAGGGGGAAGTATACCCGGATGGGGTCAATTTACCTATGTGAAATTGTATGTCTTCTGATCATCTGAAATTCTGTTTTTTAATGGTAGGCTTAATGTGTAGTAGTGGTTGAGTGTAGTTTGTTCTCTAGGCAAAAAGAATTTAAAAAATATAAAAAATATGTAATTTCTCACCAATTAAGGCTTTTGTATAAAAGCCAGGTTTGAATGGAACAAATAATAACCCCCTAATCAAGTACAAGCTTGATTAGTCATGTAAAGTGAGTACTACATAGCATACCCTTCCTTATAAGTCCGACGAAAATCGCTTGGTGTACTAGTGTAGAGTGTGTGACGATACCTATATATTTACATTTTTGAGATTACCAAAAATGTGTATCTTGAGATGGCTAGAAATACAAGTCTAATTATCACGTGTACACTATATAGCTTTCTGATTGGGTAAGGGGAACTAGTTAGCGTCACTTAATTATGCAAGTGTATCTGATTGGCTAAGAGCTTGAGACCAGATTAATAGCGTCACTCGATCATTCAGCAGCAGTAGCGATAAGAACAACACAGTTTAGTCTCCCGATATTTTGTCAGAATTCTTTGGATCCTACGGACGTTAATGTAAACCAGGACATATATAACTACAAACATAATAACAAGGAAACATGTAGGCGTTAAATATAGTCGAGAACCAAAGGATATCCGAGAGTTCGGATCGAAAACAAAAACATTCGCTGCGCGCCAAAAGTGAAAATTGTTAACATGGCGAGCCGTAGGTAAGAGAACCACAACCAGAACCGCCCCGTGGGATAATTCCAACCCAAACAACTGGACAATCATACAGTTAAGATCTGAGCTGGACAAGATCGGAATCCTCGCACCATCAACGGGAATTACGAAAGCCGCACTTAAAACTATGTATCTTGAAAATGTGGGAAGGCGGCGTGAAAGTGGGGTTGTACGAGGCCGCCCAGTTCGGGGACTAGTGAATTCGAACCAGGACGTGATTAGTTCAGACAATGACAATAGTAGCTTAACACCTATGCCCGTCGGACGTCAACACCACGACAAGTGCTAGTACATCCGAAAATTGTACGGAACTACTTCGATGTTCCGAGGCTCTGTCAACCGCATCACCCATCACCACACCGGAAGTGGGCATGCGGACGTCATCAAACATGGCCGCGCCCAGTGTGAATGTTGTGGAGGGACTCCTTTCGTCAATGCAGGGTATGCAGAAAACAATGATGGACCTGCAGCAGACTGTTATCACTCTCGTATCCAACAACAATAAGGAACGTCAATCCACAGACGTATACACGTTGGAGAAATCATACGCGGTTACCAACACACAAGCTGCGGCTGCCACGAGCTCTACATGACAATCAGGTAACTACTTTGACTCTTTATCTGATGGCATCTCGTCCGAGAGCATCCCTCACTTGGACATTGTGTCTGACAATAACAAAAAGAAAATCCTTGAGGGGAGATACATCAATCTGGCCTCCCTGTTAATTCCCAAATACGAGACAGAAGATGTACAGCCTGGCATTAATGTCCACATTAACGATCAAGTTGAGGACCCCAGGTTGAATAAACATTTGACCATTTCGGAATTTGTGACAGCTTTTGGCAAATTTAAAAGGGTCATGTGCGAAAAATTCCCGATGCGTCGGTCAGAGATGGACAGTCATGAAGCAAACATCATTGAGATTGCCAACGTATACGGCCAGAGGTTTTATGATTACCATTGTCAATTTGCGTTGAAAGCAGCTACTGCTCTGAGGGACAGACGACAAAGGGTAAACTGGGCCCTCAGAGACAATGGCATTCTGGCCATGGTAATAGGCAATGCTAGGGCTAACACGTGCCAACTGTATAACTCGACCACACATCAAACGTCGTTCTGTCCCCAGCAACAATCTAAGAAGTCCGTTTATAGTGGTAACACAAATAACCTGAAGAACCCCCAACAACAAGCCAGGAATGGGGAGAAATTGGACAGACTTGGCCGAAATAGAATCAAGATTAATGGATCCGAAGTTTGCAACAATTATAATGATGGGGGTGTCAGTGCGGCAGTCTGTGCAATTTCGTCCACATGTGCTCGAACTGCAAATCAAGCCAATCACGGAGCTAAGGCATGCCGGAAAACACACAAACAACCCCCAAGTGACAACAGTAACATTAATCCCCGTCAATGACAATTGGCAACAACTCCGGTCAATATTGAACGACTGAGCTATGAACTGACCGGTCATCCGGACCGCGAGTTTGTGAACTATTTATGCGATGGACTGACTCATGAATTTGATACTATGGTGGTGGGATCTGCTCTTCCCATTAAAGAATGTAGAAACCTAATGTCGGCTTTAAACGACGAAAACACTGTCGACAACCTTATTCTAAGTGAGACTAAAAAGGTTTTTTACAAGGACCCTTTAATAAATTACCATTCCCAACATATAGAGTCAGTCCAATGGGGGTGTCATATGGGAAGTACTCTGGTAAACCCCGTTTGATAGTGGACCTATCTTCACCACACGACAATGACGAACACCTTAGTGTCAACGACCTAATAGATAATGAGGATTGTTCCCTGTCTTATGTACGCATAGACGATGCTATCAAATTGATACAAACATTAGGAAAAAATACTTCAATGTGTAAAACAGATATTTCGGACCCTTCAAATTACTGCCCATTCATCCATCACAGTGGCATCTGTTCGGCATCTGTTGGAAAGGTAATTACTATTACTATACGAGGTTGGCATTCGGGTGTAGGTCTAGCCCAAAAATCTTTAACAATTTGTCGCAAGCCATATGCTGGATCGCGCAACACAATTACGGTATAGCTCACATCTTGCATCTCTTGGACGATTTTATAACATTTGAAGAGCCCGGAAAATGTGGCCAGAGAAACATGACGTTGTTATATTTGATATTTAACCGTCTTAATATCCCTATGGCCCTCCACAAAACATGTGGACCCGAGAATGGTATGGAGTACTTGGGTATCATCTTAGACTCCCATTATATGGAAGCCAGACTACCCGAAGACAAACTAAAACGCGATACCGAGATGCTACAATCATTCCAAAGCCGACAGTCGTGCACCAAAAGAGAACTATTACAGCTTCTGGGGCATCTCAATTTCGCGAACAAAGTAATCATCCCAGGCAAGAGTTTTATTTCTCACATTATCAAGCTGTCAACTACCGTCAAACCATTACATTACCATGTCAAGCTAAATCAGGAATGTAGGGAAGACATACGAATGTGGTTGTCTTTTTTGGCTCAGTGGAACGGGGCAGCCATATTCTACGACCGCCAAATCACATCAACTGATGACCTACAACTATTTACTGATGCGTCCGGCACACTAGGTTACGGTGGATACATGCAAGGTGAATGGTTTTCAGAAGCATGGCCATCATCCATGCAGGAACACGCGAACAGCGAGGAAGAACTATCAATAGCGTTTAAGGAACTGTACCCTATTGTAGTGGCCGCCATGATATGGGGTCATTTGTGGAAGGGTTTGAGGATCATGTTTATGTGTGACAACACAGCTACTGTGTCTATTCTACATAAAGGACGCTCTAAAGCTTCTCATATCATGCCTTTAATGAGACGTCTTACTATGTGTGCTGATATGAACATGTTTGTGGTCATGTCTCGGCATGTCCCAGGCAAAAGTAAACTCATCGCGGATTCTCAATCTCGTTTGCAGATCCGTCGATTCCGAGAACTAGCCCCGGAAGCAAACCGCCTACCATGCCAGGTCCCACATCCATCGGAGGTATTCAGGAGGTAGGGAGAGTAGTCGAAGACCTGTGGGAGGCGGCATTAGCCCCAAGTACCTTAAAAACTTACCACACAGGTTATAATACATTCGTTCAATTTCTACTAATGGCCGGCCTCATCAACAGTGTCAACTTAGCAGGAATGTGTGTTACAGAGGACCTGCTGATACTATTCGTAACTTACTGCCATAGTATTAATCTAACTAATACGACAATTAAGTTATACGTGTGTGGAATCCGGTTCATGTGCATAAAGAACAACATTACATACCCCAATAGTGCCAAATTGAATAGAATGCAAGCCATTCTAGGAGGCGTAAAACGAACCAACATTAAGGTAACGAAACCACGACACCCAGTGACATTTGATATTCTAAAAGCAATATGTGTGTATTTACGTTCAAATGCCATCTCGTTTGGTAACCTCATGTTAGAAACCGTGTGTATAGTGGCATATTTCGGTTTCTTGAGGTGCGGGGAGTTTACTGTCAAATGTAAATTTGACCGCAATATCAATCTATGTGTCGAAGATCTGGTCATAGCGGACGAATAAGTTCAACAGGGCAGTCAATAATAGAAACTGCATGATCAGTTAATTCCAAAATAGTTCAAGTGACTACCCTGAAATGGAGACAGACTTTCACTTCGTATGACCCACTTTGGCTTATTGTAGGATATCATAGTATCATGTGTACGCCACAGACTCGTGTCGAGCCCATTGGGAGGTAATAGGTCATAGACATGTTACAGAGTCATGAGACCCCTCAATGTCATAATGATGGGCGCTAAACATACGGTGTACATATCGCATCAATACACAATTGAATAGATACAAGGGATACTACACTAGTGTATATATATAAAGTTATGTGGATCCTAATGACCATCGATTAATACTTAACTTAGTCTATACCAGATCGAGGTCAGATGTGTGCATGATGTGTTTATGATATATATTATACGCCACGAAAGTTTGTTAGTATATATTTATACATATAATCGAAAAGATATAGATTTAACAAGAAAGCAACGACAAAGATATATATATAGCGCAGTAAATACCTTAAATATTGAAGAAAAGAATTTGCAAGAATTACATATCAATTTTTTGGGGCACTCAGCTATATCATTAACATAATATATCTCAGTTTGGCCGTATTTTTATATTTTTATTCGGTATTAAATTCATTTATTCCTCATTTAAACAAAATTTCCCCAAAACATTGTAATTTATTAAAATGTATGGTCTTATACCTACCCATCGTCTAGCTGGTTAGGTAGCAAAGACTCGTATTCTCTAGTGGAAGGGTAGCAAAGTCCTAATCTTATAACTTATAATATAAGCTAAGATATTATTGCTCGACCGGCTTGGGCTTTGCAACGCATATATAGTAGCAATCTGCAGCGACAAGTCACTCAGAACTACCAATATGTGCTTGCACGCGAACGCAGTGATGGAGTATACGGAACAGCATAAGGGCTGTAATACAATACACATACAACAACACTGCCGACGTCCGTTTGCAGCACGTGGTAATCTGTAGCCACTATTAGCGCACAGCGACACAATAGCCTGCATTTTTTGTAGTTAACGTGGGATTAAGTCCACACGGCTACAAAAAACCAATCTGCCCAAACCGATTAAGAATGGTATCACAAGAAATTCACAAATTAATGATTTGGGTACATATAAGCTGAGTTCGCCCCATACGCCAATTACTTGTTGATTAATGAGCTGTGTGATTTAAATATATATTGATTATATGTTTGTATGATGATGTAGCCTGTTGATATGTATATATATAATTAAATGTTGTACATAACTTATGTCTCAGTTATTTGTTCAATTTAAAAAATGTATTCACACCGAGCTGCGACTGCAGCAAAGATAATTAAATCTGAAAAATAAAACAAACATCATATAAAGGTTCAGTACTATGACAGCTTGTTGCCATATTGAATCATAGTATATCAGTAAAGTCATGATATCAAAATTCCCAAAACTAGTGAACATCATATAAGAGAAGAGGGCGGCCATTTTTCCCCAAAGGACTGCTTTCACTGCTCAAAGTAAGGTGGCCCATAAGCTGCCATACCAATGATGGGAAAAAATAAATTTCCAGTCGATGATATATTCATACCACATTCATACATGAATATATAAACTAATAACTAGTTGTTGTGCACCTTTTCAAGCAAATGAAGGGTAGATAACTGTGACGTTATCAGTATATTGACCCTAGAGTTGATACACCTCAGAGATAAAATATTCATACTTTGTAAATAAATTAAAGGAATATAAAGGTTCAAAATGAATCTTCTGCTTACCTAAATATCAACAAATTTGACAGATTCCTTGACAAAATCTTGTTGCAAATGATCAACTTCATGGGGCGCATCTTCATCATCGTAAAAGACTTCATAGACAGCAGAGGGCTCATCATCTCGTCCCCTCAGTACATCTAGCACTGTGCCAACAAACCAAGTGGACACTGAAGGAAAAAATACCATAAGATAAAAACATAGTAAGAAATACTTTACACTAGACAGTTGCCTCTGTAAATCCATAGTGTAAATAAATATAGATTATAATAATGTATGATTTATATACAAGTAAACAGTACAAAAGATAATCTTTTCACGATGCTCACCTTTCTTCTCACTCACAATCCATTCATGTGATATCCTTCTTCCCACAAATCTGACAGACCGTTGACGTGTGGATCTAGTGCTCTGTGAGCAACCGGGTCCTTGAACTGGGTCCTAATCTACCTGAAAAGTCTGACGAGTGTCATGGAGCCTTGCAGAAGTCTGTCGATCTGAAATAATACAGATTACAATAAGGAATAGGATATTTTGAAGGGCTTGACCAATTGTATAAAATGTGGTTTCGAAGTAAAAACCAAATCAACAAAAATGTTAACATCAACGTCTCTCCTGGTGTTTGTGGCGGTAGTGTTGTGTACGTACTTACCTGATGGCTGTTCAGATGTCTGGAGACAGATGGATGACTGTCTACCAACTGGAAGGAGGCAGGTGGATGGCTGTATACCAGGAGGGAGGCCGGTGGATGATTGTCCAACTGGAGGGAGGCCGGTGGGTGTCTGTGAGGACTGGATAACACCTAGATGAAAGATGACAATAAGGTTTAACAATATAACAAAAGGATCATCCACACTGAAGGATATGATAGAGACTGAAAAATATTTCCTTATTTTGGAAAACAAAAGCAATTACTATCAAATAAATACTATTTAGTTTTGAAATACAATATTTATAATTATTTAGTGTGCAAATTGTATATGTTCTCATCGTAGTTTATCCCAAATTTTCAACTCATCATTTGCAGAAGTGAAAGAAATATTATAATTTAGTTTCCCCAGTTTATTTTTAGTTATGTTGTAAGCTATCAAAAACTACCTTGTACAAGGCCAGATGGCAACGCTAAACTCTGATGAGCAGAAGGGATGGTGGGTGCCCGGGAGGGCTGAGGAGCAGGCCTGGTGCCAGTGGTGGGTTTCCTGGAGGGTCTGCGACGTCCACGGGTAGCAAGGATGGCAGGTGCCGGAGAAGGCTCTGTTCCAGTACATGTGTCAGGTTGGAACTGAAATTACCAAAAGTTGTATACATGTAATAAAATGCAAATATCATCCTTACTATAATCAGAAATATAAAGTTTAGTTACAACAAATAAAAGACAATTAACATCTTCAATGCATACCCAAACTCCAGGTTTTCCGATTCCAGGGCTCTTGCCATATCTTGGCAATGCGAGTTCCGGTAACAGGCACTTGTAATAGAACTCAGTGAGCTTTGGCAACATCTTACTATCCCAAAGATCTTCATCTCTGTACACCCTTTCTACATACAGTTCGTGGGGGTTGATACGTCTGACAATAAAGTCCACCCACGGCATATTAGCGATATTAATCTGTCCTTGGCATTGGTAAAAACATTGTGGGGTTTTTTCAAACTCAGTTTCCCATCATTTACACACAAACAGAAGGTTGACTCTTTTGTTGCCGCCTCCCTGAATGTCAAGTTCTTGTTCTGGAGCACATTTTTGATTTCAATCAGGCCATTCTGTCCCTCACTTGAAGATACTTTGCCATCAGGGCTGGCTACTAGGCAATTATGGCTGGGGTGGATGATAAGTCCGCTTTTTTTTAACAGTGACGTTCAATCCGTGCTTGGCTTGGTACATTGTGTATTCCTTTGTACTGACATCCTCCTGTTGAAGACCCCGCATGGTGTAGCGATTTCCCCGAAACGTGGTATGCAAGAAACGCCGAACTATAGGCTCAACTGGAATAGTGGACTTTCTCTTGACTACCTCCCCAAAGACTAATGAAGTCATCCGCTTTCGCCTCTCTTCCCTCCATACTGAATTAGTGCTTGCAGACTGAAGTTTGGAATGCTTTTCTATTTCTCCAATTCTTTCCGAGCATACTGTGACCTCCCTAGAAATAAAATCAACACAGGCTTTCTGAAGTTTGGCACTATCGACATCTGGCACCACTTCCACAGCCTCTGGGCCATATTCAAGTGCTGATTTCTTACTGCTGACTTGGACTTTCGCTTCCTGGCTCTCAACCTTACTTCAACCTTAGCCTTGGACTTTCTGGAGCTCTCTAATTTCCTGGCTCTGGCTCTGTAAGTCGCTCGGAATGGCTCCAATGGATCAGTGCCTGTAACTCTTGGCCGATTCTTAGGAGACCACTCTGCACCAAAATTCTGCCGTACACCACCCCCATAGCAACGGGTGTGCCATGAACCGCGGTTGCACCGGTTGCACACCTTGCCACCTGCTCGTCCACCTGCTCGTCCACCTCTCTGGTGGCGAGCAGGTTGGCCCTCTCCTCCGGGGTTCCTCTTCCTGGCGGGAGCACATCCCCAGGATCAACAAACCGTGGGTTCGTGAGATGGAGCTCCAGGAGACATGCCCCACCCTGCTGGTTCCTCCCATGGCGCCGGGCGTCACCCCTCCTTCTTCGGCTGAACTGCCGTCCAC